GTGTTTCATTGCAAATTAGCCAAGAGATTGATGGATAGTCATGAAATATCAATACACTGTTGGTCTCTGATGACATATTTGAATGATTTTAACTTCTACACTGGGGTAAACAGGGCCATAAGATGCATGCAGAATATTTAATGATTTGCACAAATCCAATATAACCACCCAATACAAATATTTGAATATAAATTTGAAAAAAGATTAATCCAATACTCATCTAATTAGAAGATTGTCTGATTCATACATGAAGAATAGTGGCAAAGTTGTCTCGGTGAATGCTGTAGCTGAAGTTGCAGGGTCACAACATCTGAAAAGTCTCAACAGGGTTGTCATCCTCCTCTGTGAAATCTGTTAGCTCTGCATTGGTACAGCTTGTACCATGGCATTCCCCCCACACAGCACTGCAAGTGAGGCCATATTTTCGGCAAGTGCATCTACGCGTGTTACAGTCTTTTTCGCAATTACAGCAGATTATGTCGAGGAGTGCTGAAGGTGCTGCAGGCTGATCTGTTTGTATTGTTAAGCACGGTCCATCTACCATTTGCCATCCCCAATCTAATGGGTCCATATTGATCCCTTTCCATTCCTTAATCTGGTGGTAGACACGGAGGCTGTGGTATCTTGCAGCTGCAGAGGTTGGTGGAAGAGTTTGTGGCTCTACATGTGATAGGTTCTTCGTCATCTTCTCACAAAACCGCTTGTACCGTAGACTATCCAGTCCTTCCTCCTTAGATCCGCCATATAGAGACACAAGTGCATGTTCACCTGCTTCAGTGATGATTTTTTTCCCTCTATTTCTTCTGTCTGGCTGAAAATTTTATTTAGCCTGATGGCAGAACAAGGCATCGCTCATGATTTTCTTCAAAGCAAGGCCCTTCCCCAATCCAAACAGGCGAGAAGTGGTGTCACAGCCTAGAATTGCATGTAGGAAGAGTGCATGTTCACATACATCACTGCCTAGTAGCTGCTTTGATTGCTTCAAGCACCAAATCCTTTTCTTTCTTGAAGCTTGTTTGGGTTCTGGTGCCAGGAACAAGTGATATGCTTCCATTTCCGCATAATGAAGAAGGAGGATGAGCAAATCTGTGTCATCTCCCACCAGGACAGTGTCTGCTTTCCTTGCAGATGTGATAGCTGTTTGAACAATTAGTACATCAGCGTCACGTTTTGCATGGACTGTGCTGCACCCAGCTTTCTCCAGTTTGTCACCAATATAAGCAATAAAGCGCTGTTTGTTTTTCGCGTTGTTCAAGAATACTTCCTTCCTCGATTGAATGACCATTTCCCCCGTGAAATAAACTGTCACACCAGAACAGGCCCCTGTTCTTCTCATGTGTGTGGCATCTTTCGTTGATAGGTGATCATTGTAGCCATCAAAGACAATGGTATAGAGTTCACACACATAATCAAATGTAGAACCTCTTGGCCAGGGTAGACGGTGAAGTAGAGCACCACCATCAAGGATGTACTGGACATTTCCACTTCCAGTTCTCGTTGCTTCACTTGGATAGATTTCGAGATAGCATCACCAAGGGTTGCCTTGTTGGTCTGCAGTGGAAGGGAGGATGATTCAAACAATGCAGGAGGGTGACCACAGAGTTCATACTTGAACAATTTCTTGAAGATTTTCCCAACATTTCCCAACAGCTATCAGCCTCTGGAATATTAGCTGTGGATCCACCTTCACGCATTCCCATTTGATCTTGACAGTTGATCTTGTACCGAGTGTGATTGCTTGATCAGATTTCCGGAAGTCAAAATCTTCTACAGAGTTCCCATCTATGGCCTTACAACATTGACTCCTTCCTGAGCTGTCATGCCATTTGCGATGTTAAACAGTTTACTGTTATTGACGAATGGGTCTCTCTGTCCAAGATATATGATAAGGTCAAGGGTGTCGCTGACATCTCAAGATTGTCTTGTTGGTGATATGTCTTTGTGTTGGTCACTGGTTTAATATGAGACACCACTGAGCGTCTGCATGGCATCGTTAATGTTTTCAGATGCTGGCATGGACAGGACCCACTAAAATTTCTGGCTGACATTGGGGTACGTTTCTGGCAGATTAAACATTTTTTTAAGATAGACATAAGCAGACTTTGCATATAATGTGTGTCCAGATGCTGCAAAGAATGGCAACATTTCATGTACTGATTGAAGGTGCATTTTTCAATTGCCTGTCCGTTCAGCTTTGAGAAAACTTTAAGAGTTAGTGAGTGAGTGAGTGAGTTACATTTAACGCCGCTTTTAACAGTATTCCAGTTACATCACGGCGTGTCAGCTTAATGTGGGAGGAAAGCTCGAAGTGATGCAGGTCTCCGACGTTAACCACTTCGGTGAAACCCACGAGCACGGGTATGGTGCTGACAAACCTAGAAACATAATCGGGGCGAACCGGGATTCGAACCCACAATCATAAGTTTCTGGCGTGCCTATGGGACGCAACTCTGCACAGCGAATCGCGGCGCCTTAGACGACTTGGCCACCCGTGCTCCCTGAAATCTTTTAGAATGTCTACCATATCCATATATTGCATCCGTTTTGCAGTCCGTTGCATAATCAAACCATCCTTTTTCCCATTCAGTTTACTTTGGATTCTTGTCAATACATCTGCCAAACATACTTCTTCAACAGATAATGTAGAAGAGGCTGCTTTGTCATACAGTTCTGTTTTCAAGTCGGTTGTGTCAGAATTCGTGTTGATGCCATCGCTTGATAGCAGACTATGGAACATGTACCAACAAACCCCAAATGTTGACTTTTGACCCCGTTCACGGCGTCCCATGTCAACGGCAAAAGTACAGGGTCGATTGATCCGAAACCAAGCACTACGAGATCAAGCTCAAACGGTGAATCAAATTGCTGTAAACTTTCAGGCTACTAGAGTACGAGCGACGGGTCAGACGATTTGAAATCGAAGTGCCTCCCCTTACAAATTGTCATATTAAGAACAGACGTCCACGGTCTACCCACCTTCGAAACTGGGGTAATAGTCGAAACGTGTCATGTTTTCAGTTGAGTCCTGATTCACTTTGCACTTCCTTGTTTTGCCTGGTCGAATCTGACCAATGTCAACCTTTGATGAAAGCACATTGGGCGTTCTGCCCCAGGGACGTTTTGCACCCATTGACCCCAAGCACGGAGGCATGACAATCTAAATGACGTCACGCTATAAGTAGCTTGATAGTACATTCAAACCGGTGGCATCATTATTCTTGATTGTACCCTCTTCATATTTGGCAAGGAAAGGTCACTAGACTGTACCCATCGAGACAACATACTGATACCCTTTGTTCCATTGGCAAGTTGAGTGGGTCGACGTTTTGTCTTTCATGACCACAATGATGTCTAAAGGTGACATTCTTCAGGGCAATAATATTTGATACAATATCTGTATTGTATATCCGTAAGATATAACAGCACAGGGAACTTTCAAGAAACAGACGATGAAAGCAATGAAATTCTGATAAGAGGTGAAGAGGATAATTGTGATCTCGTGAATTTATATTGCTATAGGAGAGGAAGTATAAACCGCAGTTCTGTACAATATTCCCGGAATATAACGGCCAGGGACACCAGGCCAGATGGATGGATGGATGTATGCATGCATATATGTAACTAATAACATGCATGTGAGGTGAGGTGAAATGGGGTTTAACGTCGCGTCCAAGATTATTGGAGACGTGAATGGATGTATTTTTGTGTGTGTATGTGTGTGTGTGTGTGTGTGTGTGTGTGTGGCTGCTTGTACTAGTCCAGACTGATGCCGATTTATAGTGCTAGCCCACTGAGATACCATGCCGCAGTTAACCATGAATACCCCACTCAGACACAGTATACTGACTCCGAGCCGACCAGTCCTTGTTTTAGCCCCTTAATGCCGGGCGCCAGACAGGGTAACAACAAGTACCATCTTTTAACGTCTTTTTGTATGACGGGGCTGGGGATCGAACTCCGGACCCTCCGCTCTCTAGGCGGACGCTCTAACATTAGACCACGGAGGCGGTCATAACATGCATGTATGTATGTAACTAATAACATATTTTGCTTGATTTTACTACAGCAATAATCTTGGCATAAGGAGAGTTCAGAACCAAAAACATTCATTAATTATGATACATTACTTTTAACCTTTAACTGCCTGCCTTGCACCATGGGCGAGACATGACAAATCTCTTTCTGGGTTTTCTTGGCATACCATAACCTGAACTGAGTTTATTGTTGTAAAGCTAATTTCCCCTTGAATGAAAAGAAATTACATGGAAATTATCTCGTGTATCCAACATTCTACCATGACATAGATAAGTACTTGATTCTGAATGGTTAGAAAAAGGTTTCCTTTTTGCTACGGAAACCTCTTTCAAATATATTAAGTCTTTTCACAATTAACGTGCGTATGAATACATAGATAAGCTACATAACGATTCATAAAAAATGGCTACCGATCTACCACCCCCATATGGACTGTAAAACGTATTCCTCATTGAAACAACCGACAATGAAAGTAAAATATAACATTAAAAAAAAAAATTCTGCCTGTTGTGCAGTGTCTGTGCTTTCTAATTGATGTAATAGTACACTGCAATCCAACACATCACATAGTTTTCTGTAGGTTTTACATCCCGCAACCGCTGTAACACGGTTTTGGTCACCTGACTTATAATGCTATTGGGGCGGTCGGATAGCGTAGTTGTTAAAGCGTTTGCTCGTCCCGCCGAAGACCCGGGTTCGATTCCCCACATTGGTACAATGTGTGAAGCTCATTTCTGGTGTCCCTCGCCGTGATATGGCCGTGAGACACCAAATTTCATAGATGCTGCTCTGGCTACAGCCAACATCGGTTCTTCTGCTTCCAGTCGTTTCGCTGCATTGTTCGGTTGTGTTTGACTTTGCAGACAATTTGTCCTACCCTTCCCCTTTGTAGGACAACATGTTGCGCATGCAAAAGCCTGAAATACTTATCAGATAATGATTACAAGGCATTGATTGTTTTACAGGACCATCAACTCACACCATTGACAACTGTAGTGTGGAGATACAGACAGGGGAGACTTCATATAGCGGTTTTGTATTTTTCCTCTGCAACTTTGACAGGCTGGGCATCAGTACTTTACAGTATCAAACATACTGGTTTGTCAACGGCATTTCAGTTTCCATCAAAAGCATTGCCCCGTGGACTGACAACTTTGTGAACAGTTCCCGGTTGACTGAAGATGATCTTAAAGGTTCAGGGTTCACCAAGTTTGGTTTTGATGTAAGTTGATGACTCTAAACGTGTAAAAAATACAATACCTCATGGCTCATGCTTTCAAGCTTTAACTCTATTGCTCAAAAGAGTAACCAGAATATTAAAATAACTATAACCACTGTCATTCCAAATAGATTATTGACAGACAGTTTTAATACTAATTTAAATACGAGTAAATAACATACCATTGTCATCACTACCTACTTCTAAGTAGGAAGGAAAAAGCGAAATATGTTTTGTTTTACTATCCGTCCATGTTTGAATTCTTTTTTACGCTTTATCACTCAAGAATGAATTGACATCTGAATCTAAATTTGAAAAAGACTTAGTAGATTAGCCATTTTAATTCTGTGTCTAATTCTATGTTTAATTTTGATTTGTGCAGAAGATCATTGAGTAGTCATCCTATATTTGTTTTGGTAGGTGCGGTGTAGTGTCAGAGTACGGGACACAGCTGATGGCTTCCCGGGACCGACACGAACGAGTTCGCCTCAATTTGCAGGAATAAAGGTACAGTGAGGTTCATGTGTGTTATCACTGAGTTTATCTCGAACTGTCATTAAAGTTATGCATATAGTCAATACCTAAAACGTTAGTATCAAAAAACGTTTGAATGCCCTGTATAATGAAGTTACAAACTCATCGTTTCTGAACCCTTGAGTAAATCGCTGGGTTGTTCATAATATATTTCACATATATGTTTAGGGGATTCACCACATTTTTGGTCCTTTGCCTTCTCCTTGTTTCTTCTATTGTCCAATAACAACTGCTTAAGGAGCATGAAACAAATTATTGTTGTGTAAGCAGTCCCTCAAAAAGCAGAAAGGCATACAATTTTCATTCAGGGCGAGTGACCAGTATTTCAGAAATACAGTATTTCAGTTAGTATTTGAAGTTTGTAACTGTTTGTTTGTTTTCTTGTTTATTCTGTAACGCCGCATTCAAGAACATTTCAGCTATATGACGGTGTAATAGGACACTAATGGATATAAGAACACCTGTTATAAATTAATATCTGCCTGTTTCAATAAATAGATCACGTGAGCTACAACGAAATCAAGAAAGAGCTGTTCTTAACTCATGTAAATTTACACCTAATAGATAAGGCTCTTGTATAATAGTAGTCTTAAATGTAGTGTAGTAATTTGCTTATCAAGAAATGGACAGGAAACCATGCGATTTTTGGATGTACATAATGTTAATAATCAATCAACCCTACTTCTTGAGGGAACTCTATGAATGAAATACAGTTACGTTTGTCATAGGTACATATCTAAGTGTCTGTATCAGGTTTCAAAGGTATTTAGACATCCTGAATAATTTCCGGTGCCAGTCAACACACAGTAGCAATTAACTGAGTGGGTGAGTGAGTATGATTTTACGCCGCTTTTAGCAATATTCCAGCAATATCATGGCGGGGGACACCAGAAATGGGCTTCACACATTGTACCCATGTCGGGAATCGAACCCGGGTCTTCGGCGTGACGAGCGAACTCTTTAACCACAAGGCTACTCGACTGCCCAGTAGCAATTAAGCTCATTTCTTAAATATAAGTGACAATGTGTTTATCGATCGGTATCAAATACATGTAGTGAAGATATCAGGTGTTCGAGAAAAGGGGAGCGTATACTGCCACAGCGGTGGCACCAAAACAAACACATGCAAAGTCAAGTCATTTGTTTACCTGAAAACCCTGAAACATAAAGTACAAGTCAAGATAGGGAATTGCATCGGACATCATATGTGTCACCAATGCGTCATATTTCGAAAGTATTTCAAGTATTTTTAAAAGTTTTACTAAGGCCTTCAACGTTGAATGTTGTAACCTTGACTCAATAACTTGTGAGCTACAATCGAGTATGTACTTTCTACGAAGATTTTGAAGAGCATCATACGACTCTTGCTCGTGCCGCGTTTGAAAAAGATACGCTCACATATTGGCGAACACCTGGTGTCTACACTATTTGGTATACATAGGTGTTTCATATACGTTCTTAGGATATAGTCGGAATCGTATTCAGCGTTCAGCAGAAGTTTCTAATGATTATGGAAAAGGTTTTGACGCTTTATTTTTGAAACACGTGACAAAAAGCTTGGTCACCCAAAACGTTTTCATATTTTATCACTGCAGTAAGCCACCTTTCAGCTATATCACACATCTTGTATAAAATATACAAAAACCAAGACTGGTTAAAAACCTGTGCAATCTGCGACATGTTCGGGGCCTGATGACATACATATTCAATCAGACCAAGCGATCCAACTGTATCGCCTTTGTAAAATAAGCCACCCGTGTAGTCTCTACAAAGTTTCACCTCGGTATATTTGCCTGTTTCTGTACAACACTTATTTCAAAGATTAAGGTTGATGTGATGTCTTAAACATTAATGACACGTGTTTCAATTTAGTAGTACCATGACACTGTTGATTAATATATCAGTATTATTTTTGTCATATTTCATGAATGTTGTATTTATGTCAATAATTTGCCTTCAATTTCAGATAGTGAATCCGACCATATCTGTAAAACAAGGTCAAACAAAATCTCTGTCTGTAACTTCAACAGTTCCAATCAAATGTGGCACATTGTTTAACGACTGTAGAGTCAGGTTGGAAGTAACAGCTCAAAACTCCGAAGACAACACAGAATGTAAGCCAGAAGCATTTGTACAGACAGACTGCAATGTGCCCCTGCAATATGCCAACGTGGAATATAATATTACTGTCCTTGGAGAAATAATTGTGGATAATGGCGAATTTAATGGCTTAACAAAATTAACTCTGACAACTATATCCAACGAGATGCCGTTCTTTTCGGATTATGAAGTTGGGATAGCTTCGGTGAGTAATTGTCATTGTAGATTGTAAGATTCAGCGTCAAACTAAGAATATGATGATATTAAATAATATCGCGTGAACATTGTCGATATTTGCATCTTAATGATTTTGAATAAGCAAGAGCAATACTGTTATCTGAATCCAAAGCTAATAATTCTACATAAACAGTTTTGTATGAAAAGAAAAACTTTAAATGCAGTTGACCGTGATATCTTACCATATCTCTCATAACAATATGGCAGAAAATATTCCATAATAAGTAAACAAATAACATTTCATTCACTTTTACAGATTATATATAAAAACTGTAAATGTTTGATGCAATCAATTACAGTAAACTACGGTTATAACGAACACAAAGGGTCCACTGATCATAGTTCGTTACAACCGAAGTTCGTTATAAGCATATATACAGCTTATATACAGTAAATGGCCGGGACTAAAAATAAGTTCGTTATATTCGTCAGTTCCTTATAAGCATGTTCGTCATAAACGTAGTTGACTGTAGTTTTGTATGCCTGGTGTGCTTATGTCGAGTACTTGCAGGCATATATCATCAATCAATGAATTCATGACTGCCATGAAAGAGAGTATGTGCATGTGTGTTTGTATATGTACATGTATCTGCGCGCGTCTGTGTGTATTGCCCATGATAGATATTGCTAGCTTGTCGCGATCGATCACTTGATTGTATGGTTTGTTCACAGGCCGCCGTTGCATGGCAACAGTACTGCTGTACGGCCTCAGGCAATAAATATTAACTTTTTTACGAACATTGTGTGAATGGCGGGTGCTACGACAGGACATGCTTACCCTTTTCGCGAACAGCTGTTATCATCACTTATTTCCGTTCATAAATGTTCACAGCTATTTTGCCCTGAACACCAAATGGAATCTGTTTCGGTGGATAATCTAGACTAGTTATTCGCTTGCATTGGTAATGTACATTTATGAGCAACAGGGTGCGTACCAAGTCACCGATCCTGAGCAACCGAGCCATTAATTGCATCTCACGACAGGCACAGCTTACTGTGGTCCATTTCTATCTCAATTCATCTTCAAGAGTTCGTGTAATCGTGTAATATTGTTTTATTCCCTTCTTGATTCTTCTCCATCTTGCTTTCAATGGTCATATTTGTTCAACGTGAGTTCATTCAATGGCTTGTCACCACAATACCTATACTGGTGAGGTTTCACAAAAGTTGCAAAAGTGCATCACTTCGGTCTTTCCTTACACATTAAGCTGATATTCCATTTTTATCTGAAAGTTGAGATCTGATTGTTTCGCGTGATCTTGATAAAATACTACGTATTCGGACTGGGAAGGAAATACATTTGCAAGCGGAAGAATAGAATTCGAAGAGATACGAAATTCAGATGGAGTTTGCCCTCGTCTTATAGCAATCGCCTGAGGATAGTGTTATACAACCTGTCGAATGGATAACCCTAGTGATACCACTAAAACGAATACTCAACAACAAACATCAATATTTTTGTGTATTTTTCAAACAAGTAAAGTTTGGTTTTCAATATTGTAGTACATGTATGGAATCAAGTCACAAAAACGCAACTGCTGCAGAAAAGCATGCATTCCATGTAAAAGTTGACTTTTATGGAAGCCCCATGCATTTCACTACCTAAGAACAGGTATAAAAACATGTGCGTAAACGGGATTTCATATGCATTGTTTAGCATCGTGCTGACAACAACCACTCAGGAAAACAACAAAATTACGCAATTATTCAACATTACGAAATGCCACGCCTGTCCGAAAATGAGCGTCTGTGAGCCATTGGTATGCTTGAAGCAGGATCGAGTCAACGTGATGTTGCAAGACAATTTAACGTCCACAGAAACACCATTTGGTGTTAATGGCAAAGTTGGCAACAGACGAATGCAGTCAGAGACCATCCTCGGAGTGGCAGGCCACGCGTAACCAATAATCAGCAAGACAACTGGATTCGAACAACACACCTACGAAATCGATTCCAGCCAGCAACAGTGACTGCAAGAAGCATCCCTGGCCTTCGACGAATATCTTCACAAACCTCAGATATGCAGGGATTGTCGCCAGAAGACCCGCCAGACGTCCCATTTTGACAGGAAACCACCGTCAAGCACGTCTACAGTGGTGCAGACAGCGTCTACGCTGGATGGCCATGCAGTAGGGACCTGTTCTATTCACTGACGAGTCTCGTTTTCACCTCAGCCATGGATCAGCGATGGACGGATTCGAGTGTACCGACGTCGGGGTGAACGTTACGTCAATCATTGTGTCATGGAAGAAGATCGGTTCGTGGGCGGCAGCGTTATGGTATGGGGTGGGATTACAGCAAGAGTACTGAGGACCCGTTTGATAGTGGTAGAGGGAAATCTCAATGGACAGTGCTACCGCGACGAGATCATCGGCCCTGTTGTTGTACCGTGTTTGCATCGTCATGGCCCAGGCATTACCTTTCAACATGACAACACCCGGCCTCATATTGCTCGGATTCTCTTCAACAAAACAATGTGAATGTCATCCCCTGGCCGGCTCGCTCCCCTGATCTCTCACAAATCGAGCACATGTGTGATGAGATGGATCGGCGCCTTCGACGTCAACCACGTGTTCCACAGACACTCCAGGAACTTCGAAACATGCTCCAGCAGATATGGACAGATATCCCACAGGACTTTGTGCGACATCTGGTCCATTCCATGAGACGAAGATGTGTTGCTTGCATCGCAACCAGAGGTGGACACACACGCTATTGACTTTACATTTTAGCATGTTCATGGTTTTTTTATGAAATCACGCATTTTCTGAAGTCTGTAGGGCAAATTAAACCAGTTGAACACTTACATGAGTCTTTTATCTGTTGCAAACCGAAATTGTTTCAGATTTGGTAAAAAACATAACTTTGCTTTCAATCTTATTCAATGTCACAGGAACTTTTGTTGTTCAGTATATAATGTTACCATACAAATGCAACTTACCTCTGCTCGACCGGATCGGGGACGCCAAGCTCGTGTCTGTGAACCTGTATGTGTTCCTGTATGTGGCATATATCGCCTCAGCACAGTTTGGAAATCTTCCGCTAAACCCTGAAGTCTTGAAAATTAGCACCTTCCGGACATTTTCAAAACTTGAAAAAGGCTAATCTTTGAATTACTCCAAACACTTCAGGTACAATAAAGCAAGAAAGGGAAAAGGTCGTGTCAATATAAAACAACTCCGATGATGCAAAACAATGAATACAAGGGTTTGAACCGTTGAAAATGATAGTGTGCGCGACAACGTGATTTACATGTGTCAAGTTCAGATAGCTTCGTGAAAAAAGAAAGCGTTTTACAATCATATTACAGACTCTAAATAACTGTCTCTATTATTCTCATGTACTATTGTTGTACCAAATTACAAGGTCATCGACCTATGATATGAAGTATTGCTTCAAGTAAGGGATTCAATAATATTCAAGGCCATTCAGGTTTGTTTGTTTGTTTGTTGTTTAACGCCGCACTTAGCAATATTCCAGCTATATGGCGGCGGTCTGTAAATAATCGAGTCTGGACCAGACATTCCAGTGCTTGACATCATGAGTATCGATCCACGCAATTGGGATCGATGACGTGCATCAACAAAGTCAGCGAGCCTGACCACCCGATCCCGTTAGTCACCTCTTACGACAAGCATGGTCGCCTTTTACGGCAAGCATGGGTTGCTGAAGACCTATTCTACCCCGGATCTTCACGGAATTAGCGCAAAAAAACTTGGATTAGCTTGATAATGTATGATTGACAAGTGAGTACTATACGTGATGATCGCAATGGATGGGTCACTTTTGGGTGACCTCCATATAAGGTCAAGGTCAATATATATTGTTACGTGTCGATTCCCAAATTCAAACAATACGTTGACCCAGAAATTTGTACGTCAAGGAATTTAGTGTGAAACCAACAAAACAATCAACAAATATTCGAAACTTAAATTTCCACACAGTGCCATCACAACATAGAATATTCAATAACGCTCTATCTCAGTCCACGGTATTCCGGAAGTTAACACATCACACTAGCATTAAACTGTAGTAACTACTTCACCACTGCTTACATTAAATAGTACTACATTCACAACAACTAATCATCCAAATACAATGGAATGAGCTTCTATCGAATCGAAAGAAACAATGTAATACAGTTACAATCATTGTTCAACAATAAAATACTCTGACACATAACAATATCAATTATAAAACATTACTACATGTAGGAAATACCTGATTTATCATTAAAGACAGAGCATTTCCGAAAACAACAAACTATTAACGACTCAATTCATGCCATGTCATGATTGTGTCAAATATCAAAACATTGACACTGAATGCCTCCATTTTAAAAGTATTTTCTTGATTATATAGGAACTGCGCATTTGATACATGTTTGAAACAAGTAATGCTCTTGAATGTGCTTGGATGACAATCATGAATAAATCTATTAACATTTTGAGCATTTATAGTTGGAATTTGATGAAACTTAAATATGATTTCTAGAATGTGGGACCCTTGTCCATCCGGGGTAGAATTGGTCTTCCAGAATCCATGCTTGCCGTAAAGGGTGACGATGTTTGTCGGAAGATTAGGTATACATCAGCACTTTCGTCAATACTGGACCCGTGCCAAGGTCAAGACCATTTACACCTTGTAACACATGGACATAGTAAATAAACACTGAATTCACTTTGAATTTTTATCGCCTGAGAGTGAAGGTCAATGTCAACAGGCCATATGTGCTTTTAACTTTCACATAAGGGAAGTAAAGGTCCAAGGACTTTCTGTTTCAAAGTTGTACACTTTTGATTATAGGTTTACTTAAAGGTTAAGTGATGTTTATTAATCAGGAATTTCTTAAAACATAGTGAGCCATGTAGCTAGAGGTTTGGGACGTTCTGTTTGATGTTGAACTGCATCAGAAAACATTTGGGATAAATTTGGTTCATGAGACATTGTTCTTGTCAAAAAGGTTTGGCCAATCGAGAAAACGTTGAGTTTGGCTCTGATTCTGTTGTTGCATAAATTTCAATCACCTCTCGTGCAATATTCTCCCGAGGCAAGGTATTCTAATAGGGTTTGAGCTTGCAGGAGGCATGGTTTCCCTAAATCAATGGACCCGTGAAGATCCAGGATAGAATACGTCTTCAGACACCCATGCTTGCCGTAAAAGGCGACTATGCTTGTCGTAGGAGGCGGCTAACGGGATCGGGTGGTCAGGCTCGCTGACTTTGTTGATGTATGTCATCGATCCTAATCGCGTGGATCGATGCTCATGATATTAATCACTGGATTGTCTGGTGCAACTCGATTAGTTACATATAGCTGGAATAGTGCGGCGTTAAACAACAGACCAACAAACCTGAATGGCCTTGAATATTATTGAATCCCTTAATGAAATGAAAGCCACGTGACAGCTCAATCGAACAGCTGTTTTCTATAATTTTAAAGTTCTTTCTCTCTGTGTGTTCATTTCACATTTGTCAATGGCAGTTTGAAGCATGTCGGCAAGATAAATTCATTGTAGCAGCATCACTCCAGGAGCTTGTGGTTTTGTGCGTCCCTCGTTAAGTTGTAACCACAGGGACGCACAGGCTCGTCGCATAAAACCAATGAAAATAAAACCACATATACTTCTTGTGATACTGCCACAAGTTATAATATCTTTACCAGGTGGAGGTGACAAAGGACAGCTCTTCAAATATCAACGTTGGGAAGGCATGCCATGCTGTGTGTGATCCTCACATGCTGACTTTCGATGGCAGGTAAAGGAAATCACAATTTACATATTTGTTGTGCCAACACTTTAAAAACAGTAGGGAATGATAAAATATATATATTTTAAAATCACGCATTGGCACAAAGATGAGCAAGAACATTTATGTTTGTAGAACTAAACACCAATACACATCTTTCACACGTGCGTGTGACGTCTTTTCTGATGTCGATACTTTCAAGGTCGATTAATCTCTGTCAATCTTATTGACTCTGCTTATCATACAGTTTTCATTTACTTGATTAGATTCATTGTATCTGAATGAGTTAGCAATGTGGCGTCTACAACACACAGAACGTCTACAGGCTACTCTGATACTGGAAACTGACAGAGGTCAGCGTGCAGTGACCAATATGTTCAATGTTTCACATTCTGTGATAAACAGACTGTGGAACAGGTACCAACAATCCTAAAATGGTCACATTTGCTGCCAACTTATAACAGGTTCCTGGAAATCATCTACATGCAACTCAAAGCCCTGCTCCTCCTACAAATCGTCATATTGCCCACATATGTCAATGGTTGTACACAAAGCCAAAACTTGTGTAGTCGTTGCTGGTCATGAATCAGGTTTTTAGAGTCGCCATTCACGTTGCACTTCCTTTATATGCATGGTCGTGTAGGCGACGCCGAAATGAACGTCAAACCAAGGTCAACCTGAGACCTTTTGGGAGATCGGCATTGGATCAATTATGGTGTCACTGTGCCTGACCGAATTCCACTCCATATTGTGCAAGGAAAGGTCACTGGAAAGTACTATCAGGACAATACACTGACATCCTTTGTTGTCCCGTTTGCAAGGCGTGTGTGCCGACGATTTGTATTTCAGGACCACAACTGCCGCGCTTATCATGCACGAATCGAAGGAATGCCATGGCCAGCTATAAGGGAAGACCATTTCCCCACCGAACACGTCTGGGACATATAGAGAGACTTGTGGGTCAACGTGAAAGGCCGGCGATCATGCTAGCTGAACTTGGGCAGGTGCTGCAAGATGAGTCGGACACAAATCGCCAACAAATTTCCTTTAAAAGCTCAAATATTTCCCTCCTTCCCCTGTTGTACTTCAGGAGGATCGTACAGGCTCCAATGCAATTATAAGGCCTGGTGCTAAATTGCGCTCAGTTTTTCTGATGACAACGAGTCCTTATATTTTCTGATTGCATGTCAGTGCATTAAAACGGGATACATATAAAACATGAGCAAAGATGATCATGATGAGGCAACACTTTAACCACAAGGCTACCGTAATGAACCTCTTGACCAGTAAATGACTAAAATGTGCGTGCGTGCGTGCGTGCGTCTGTAGCTTATTTTACTAGTCCGGACTGATGCAAATTTTGTGGTGTTAGCCCACAGAGATACCATGCCGCAGTTTAACATGAATACCCCACTTAGACACAGTATTCTGACTCCGAGCCGACCAGTCCTTGTCTTAGGCCAGGTTCACACAGTGCCGATTGTAGCTTCCGTTTGGGATCAGACAGCGCTACGACACGAAAAGTTAAAAAGTCGGATTACTATCTTAAATGATCTTGAATGCCCTATCATTGTCTGAACGCAGTCATATATGTTCGTAACCGAGTCCTATGGATCGGGGAGGTCCAGAGAGGTCGGCCAAGCAATACTGTTGCTATGGTGCGTCCCATAAAACCCTAGTCACACTAGAGGCGTAACGATCCAAATGCCGTCGGAATGAAACTTCTTTGTTTATTCCTGGATATTCGAAGTGCATTCTAAAACTTCTGACTGCATTCTGAGTACGTTCTAAATATTCGGGCTCGTTCTTGTGGCCAGCCTAACTGCACTCTGACTGCATTCTAAATATTCATATGGCATTCCAACGGCATTCGAAACATTCTGATCGCATTCAAGGGAGAATCAAAATGCAAAGCCACTTCAAATTCTGCCAGAATGTCCCGAATGCACCTTGAATGCATCTCGATTGCTGCCGGAATCTATTTCGATAATAAAGGAGTTCAGCTGGGATGCACTTCGAATGTCATTAGAATGCGGCTTGAATGCAGTCAGAACGTCCCGATTGGCCTTCTGTTGAGTCCGGGCGTAATGACATAAGAATTGTTGGAACGTCAGTCTGCATTGAATTGAATTGAATTGAAACTGTAATATGTTTGTAGAAATACAGTTAGAATAACTTATGAAATTTTAATGACGCTGGAACTTTTTGATAAAAAGATACATGTACATTGAGATCAAATGTTACATTTATTATAGGTCTCTCCCCTTTAAAGCTGAATATGTTATAATAATAACACACTAATATTATTGTGTCAAAATTAGATAAGAAAAAAAGCAATTATTACTTTTATTAATGATAACAATTTATTGGCACAACAAGAAGTTCAGTGTACATATGTCATATGTCATCATCAGATCAGTCTCTTATCCATCAATCATCCTGATCTGCTATGGCACGGCTCCTACTGGGTTGTTGAAGTAATGCTTGAGGATCTCCCGCTGCCTCTTTCCAGCCTAGGTGTCTCTGTTTCCTCCTGCAACACGCTGCACATCTTCAAGTTGAGCAAGTTGTCTCCAGGCTCCTGGCACCACGTTGTACCTGACATCTTCCTCATCCACCATACCATTGTGGAGAGAAGGATAACGGATTCTCATCAAGTTGTGCTGGCAGACACAACATTCATCGATGTCCTGCACAATGGAAGGCATTGGCTGCATGGTTGTGAGGAGGACTTGCCATCTCTGGGTCAGGATTCCAAATGCATTCTCCACCACACGTCGGCCCCTGGAGATTCTGTAGTTGCAGAATCTCTCGTCTCTCCGGAGATACATGTGACCATATTTCTTCATAAATAAGGCCCTTATTCCCAAGGCATCATCTCCAACGATAAAGTATGGTATAGGCCCGTCATCTTGGGGTATGGGGAATGTCTCAGGAAATCCGATGCTCCCTTCTTCAAGGCAATCCTTGAGCTCATTGGAGATTTGAGCATCAGACATACTTCCATATGCACTGATACCCACAGGAACTTGTAGTCCATCCACAAGGGCCATGAGGACCACGGAGAAGAAGCCCTTGTAGGTGTGATACAAGGAGCCGCTCTTGCCAGGTTTCCTGATGACCACATGCTTGCCATCGAGAGCTCCCACAGCATGAGGAACATTCCACCTGTTTCTGAAGACCTCCCCAATAGGTGTCCATTCGTCTGGAGTGGTAGGCCATGTGATGACCTCATCCTTGTATTCCTCCACAATGGCTTGGCAGACTTCAGGGATAATAAGACTGATGGTGTTCCTTGCCACACGGAAGCTGTACATGAGGTTGGGGTACTTGTCATCTGAAGCCAGGAACCTCACAGTGATGGCAAGCTTTAAGCCTGGAGGTAGCGCCTTCTTCAGCTTGGTATCCTGCTTCTCTATCCTTGGCCCCAAACTCTGCACCAAATATTCAAACATGGCAGGAACCATCCTGAGGTTGTTGAAGGAGGACTGTGAGTCTTCTACTCTGAGCTCCTCCATCAGTCTGGCGTAATGTCCATACAGCCTCCTCCTCTCCTCTGCCAGCCATGGTCGGGGCTGATATCTTCTGGGTCTTTTCCTCCTGTATCTTCTCTTGGCCTTCTTCACATCGCTTTCAAGCAGGTCTTGCTGGAGGACAAAACAACACGGCGCAGGGGGTCCATACTCTATGATGGTTGGGCTGAGACTGATGAAAATGCTCTATTCGGCAGCATTTTATACACTATCGGAGACCATTCTGGCAGCATTCTTGATACAGCTGGGACATTCGTGTTACATTCTAAGTTCATTCGAAGTACCATCTAAGTATTCTAGCTGCATTCTGTTTGAATTCTTGGACGTTCGAACAATATTCGGCGGACATTCCAGGAGCCTTCTGACAGCATTCAAGGTGAATTCATACAGCACTCGAGGCACCTTCCAACTGACCAGGGCAGTATTCAGGCAGCAATCGAACTACATTCGTATGGCATTCGAAGTGCATTCTAAATATTCTGACTGCATTCTAACAGCATTCTAAATATTCCTACTGTGTTCCAACTACATTCGAGCTGCATTCGATAGCTAATACACCAAGAATATGCAAAAATCATTTGAGGCAGGTTCGAACTGCATTCTAGGTATTCAAACAGCATTCTTACGAAGCTTGGTCTATTTGAAATTCTCTCCCGAATGTGGCACGAATTTTGAAAATTCTTCATTTCGGCTAGTTCTGCTTTATTCCTTCTGATTCCGAATTAGTGTGATGGGGGGATTAATATTCGGGAAAATCAGCCGATTTTGCCTAGTCAGAGTACAATCGTGACTATGTCGGGATAGATTCTGCTGTATCGGATAAAAATCATAACAATGTCCTGTGTTTTCTGGATGGTTTCCTGTGGATCAGGATGCTGTCGTGATGAACAGGCATGAATTATTCATTGCCGTTTCTAGTCGATTGCGTCCAGAATGCGTCCAGATCTTGCCGAATGTGACCCGTCTTTGTTGGTTCACTGTCCAGTCACTGTCAGATCTCTGTCGGATCACATTCGGGAGAATCGGGACGCTGTTCGGACAGATTCGGTCGTGGAAACTGGAATTATTATGTAGTCAGTAAACTCCGTTGACTCAGGAAGATGGGAATGCCTATCTACATGCCCTAGGCAATCCCTCATGAATCATGCTTCTCTGCTTCATAGCGAATGGTCGTCTATTCGAGTTCAAAGAGCTACCATTTGGGATATCGATAGTTCACGTGGATGACAAGGTCAATCTTTACTTGTCAGTGATCCATTCATATCATGTCCGCACCATTTTGCTTTTTATACCCAATCGAATCGGTTTTGATGGATGATCGAGAATAGGTTGTTGTCTGAGGTCGACGTTTTATATTTATCCAGTGATTCCACAGATACCTCAACAATTTCCTCTCATCAATTTCGGCTCGCCTGAATTATCAACAGATGGTACAAAAATGCTTAGAAGGTCAGCATTCCATCTGCGATTAAATGAGTCCATAACCAGTTTCAGGATTTCTTTGACACACGTTTTCTGGCAATGAGTAAAGGTGTGTCTTTGCTCTTTATTGCTGATGATATAATGTTCCTACAACTGAGAAACGAAAAGCAGGCACAACACATGGTGGGAGCCATGACCATACACTACATCAGCTCTTACTTGTCTTTGAAACGGAAGATCTGAAGATGTTTTCAGATCACAGATCTGTCTGTAGGTTTATCTTGTCTTCTGAAATCTTTGTTTGAAATGTTGTAACAAAGGTGACACATCTGACTTGAAAGACATCGATTCTCTTTGTGCTGGCAATATATTTGAGATCAATAATCTGGACTATGTGATGGCACGTGGGTCGTCAATATCCTTGTCTATGTTATTGGATCTCGTTGTCAAGGGTCCACGTCCAATGGACCGTCTGCTGGAGTGTTGATGACATATAATTCCAGCTCTAGCTCAGGCCATATGTCCTGATGTTGTGTCCGTGGGGGTTGGACGCTATGTTGGCCCCACGATATTCCTCCGAACAGGAGACGTTGTTTGTTTGTTTTTGGACAGAAGACTGTGGCTTAACGTATCAAGGTCCATTCTAACAGATTGCGCAAACAATTTTCCTTGATATCTTGGAATGTCTCACCTCATCAAATAAGACAATCTTCTCATCCTTTTATGTAGGTACTTACATGCAGGGACTGTGCCTGCGCGTACATGTGTGTGTGGAGGCACCTATCCTTGTGGCTCCAGACATGACCTGCAAGCATGTTTGGATATGTTACTGTACGAGAAATATATTTTGAACAAGGCCCGGCTCTGACTTATAAGGTGACGTCTGAATAACCGGAAGTAATTGCACAATAATTGAAGTAGGAATAACCGGAAGTGTTTTCTCGAATAAACAGAAGTTACGTCAGGGATTCCGTTAGTGGCTTCATTTAATGTCCGATGCAGCATGACATCGTTTGTTCTGAATTCATTTGTTATTTGGCAACTACAAACATGATGGAAATTGGATTTCCCCATTTAAAGACTACTAACTGTAACTGTGTGTTCGAATCATTCTGTCTTCATTCCGGATGCACTCCCTCGTAACAATGCAAATATACTATAACAGTAATCTTACACAACAAATTGTACATTGGCCTCTATGAGGGATACACACATATTCCAATTTAAAGGAAACATATGTTAACTATTTACGCATATGCGCCTATACATAAACTACACACATACCTGTAGCATAGGCCTATTGTTCCTGATAACAATTGTTTTATATTTCAGATACTACGAACACCAGTTTACAGGTCACTTTGTTTTGTACAAGAACTACGAGCATAACACCGAGGTACAAATTCAGGATCATGTAAACATGTAAACACACTGGATGTCGAATTATTTTTATAATTATACATTTATTATTTATAAGTTCTGAAAAGTGAACGTTGTGCGAAAATTGTTGTTCCGGTTTGTGGGTTTTCTTAGTCTTAGATTCCGTGATCACTCATGTGCTATTTCTATTGTTAAATTCTTCGAGTAAATAACCGACATAAGATCAAAACATACACGCATAACGCCGTACTAAATATGCTTTGCCTAGAATGAATACGGATGTTGTCACAACACAGCACTGCAAAGAGTTTGCAACTGGTTGATGTAATTTTAGTTGCAAAGCGGGCGTTGTAAATTCACATTTGACTTTTGTCACATTTACGGGTATTAACCCTCATCAGCTCACATGGTTGATGACTTGATTATACAGTTCAACTATGCTCCCTTGTTTTTTTATATTGCAGGTACAAATGTCAACCACTCCCTGTTATTATAGACCAAGGTGTCCATGTGCCATAGCTGTAAGGTCGGGACGAACTGTCTTCCGCCTTGACCGGTGTGCTGGTGAAATAGCACCCTGGGAAATCGGGTTTGCTTCATGTGGAGATCACCTTGGGGACATGATCGTGAAAAAAAGGGGATCTTTGTATGAGGTAAACATTGGTTCATCTGAGCGATCTAACATTCATTTAGATTTTGTGACAGGTTAAACCATCAGTTTCCTTAATAACGTTGTTTATGAATATTTTAAAAAAATCTTAAAAAATGTAAACAAAAGTATCAAAAAATAAATAAGGGTCACGAAAATTCTTTGTCATACATTTCGACATGATTATATACAAGATCAACTTTAACAAAAATATTCTTGAAAACTAGGAGACAGTGGAAGTGAAAGAATGCTGGTCAAGTAACAAAAATGGTGCTTTTCGAAGCGAATTGTCTCGATTGACGAATTAAATGAAGTTAACAGTAAATAACAAAACATTTTCGAGAGAATAACAAACGGCAAGAAGTGATACTTACTCCTTAAATGACCATCTGTCAATATGTAGCCTTGTCAATGTGGAACTAACGTAAAAAGGACTTAACAGTTTGTGCACGTGCTTGACCCTTTTTCATAAAGGGAGGCGCTTTAAAGGGAGGTAACTCTTGTATGACAATACTTCCGTCAATTTTAAAGGGAGGTAACTCTTGTATGACAATACTTCCGTCAACTTGTTAGGTTCACTGGCGTCGTACGTTATCCGTCGTTTGGGCCACTGAGGCAGCCGTGATTAAGCTGGAATGTTGCTGATAACGAAGGAAAATAAAACAATCAAACACATTATAACCAAAGAGCATCTCGGAGTCGAATCAACAATAAAGCAAGTTTTTGAACATCAGAATCAAGAATGGTGACACCTTAGTGAGTGAGAGGTCGGTTTAACGCCGCTGTGAACAGTATTCCAATAACATCATTCCAGTTATATATTGGTGTGTCAGCTTAAGGTGGGAGGAGAGCACTAAGTGATGCCGATGTTCAGTCGTTTACGACTTTGGTGAAACCCATGCTTTGGTGCTGACGATATCTCGAAACATAATCGGTGCGCCCTCGGATTCGTACCCACAATCATAAATTTGTGGCGTGTCTAAGGTACGCATTTCTCCAAGAATAAGTTAACGGTATCAATGTCGAACTTTAGATGAAATCATTTGTGTTATTCAGCGAGCAGGGCAGTTGTTTCCAGAAACAACTGTCTACAGATATTCGCGGCGCATGGGACAAATATGTCAGCTCAACTTAATAGAAGATGTATAATTACGTATACTAGTTGTATGGTACAAAGCAAAATAGTACACTTCAGATATAGCTTGAAACAGCAGAAAGTATGACAATGGTTAAATAAGATTGATAACAACTGATTCAAGTTATAGACCTTTAAACATCTTTAGCTTTTTTATTCAATTTTAGGTATTTTTGCCTACCGGAACAACTATCAAGGTTTACTTACAAAGACTGTATCTGAATGTGTACATCTATCCATCCGTCGATGATATAAACCATACATCCGGGCTGTGTGGAACACTGACTGGAGACTGCTCAGATGACTTTAAACTGAAGAATGGGGCTTATTCGACCGCACCAAATGCAGGAGCTCAGTGTTCCGGTGCTGGATTCTGGGAAACCTTTCAAGACTTTTCAAGTTCATGGAGGTATGCATGATCTGAATTACAACAAACCCTCCCCTCAGCTCATATATTGTTTTCTCCTGTGTCCATTTGAGTGTGTGTGTATGTTGTTTATGACAAGTCAGCAGATTGGTATCTCAGCAATATCATGACAATCAGCTGACTATGGTGGCTGAGAGGGGACATCACTTTCTCGCTTTATCGCTTTCTCGCTCTATCGCTTTCTCGCTTTATCGCTTTATCGCTCTATCGCTTTCTCGCTTTCTCGCTCTATCGCTTTCTCGCTTTATCGCTCTATCGCTCTATCGCTTTCTCGCGGTACAGCGATATTCCCTTTTGGCCACGATATGGGTCGCATGCGTCATGTGTTTCTATACGATAAAAAGTATATACGTAAAACAACATTAATGAATTGTCCTCAGTGTATGTGTGTGTGGGGTGTGTGTGTGTTGGGGGGGGGGGGGGGGGGGGGGGGGCTGATGTGTGTGTGTGTGTGGCTGAGATTTTTCCAAGTCGCATTTCCAATTATACTTATGGACGGAGAATGTTGAAATTTTCTCACTTTCTACTTAAAAATTATTTAACAGTACAGACATAGGTGCTTTTATAACAATCCACGTAATTCTGCGTACAGAAGGATTTGATTGATTTATGCCCCTATTTAGCTATTGGATCCCCCGCCCCCAGGCCAAGGTATCGAAACAAATAGCAAATAACACCGCTCAACAGCGCTGAGTAGTACGTACTTCCTAAAAGGCAATAGTGTTTTCCTAAAAACAACGCTTATATCAATGCTTATTCTGTTTGCGGAGTAGATGTCATCAAAGTGGAAGTCCTCACCCAAGCAATGGTAATACTACCGGATATTCATTATGTAATTTCTAGTTTTGGGATGACATATTGTTCTCAGTAACCGTAATGTGGAAATAGATAGTTGATTGGTTTTATATTCAAGTTGGTATTTCCGCTATTCAAAGTGTTCAGTGAGGCCGTCTTATCAACAGTCATTTCTGAGACATAAATGCTAAGTTTAATTGCCGCATTCGACGTAATAAGCGCCCCGCTCTAATAAACGCCTACGGCGTTATTTGCTAATATATTGGCTAGTGAACAATCCCAGCCCCTCTCCCGATTGATTAATGTACACAAGACTTATTTATTCGCGTATAATAAGCACTCGTTATATGCACACTTAATTATGGGCAATTAAATTCGGGAAAAATATATCTGTCGTACATAAACATTTCAGGCTGTCAGCATAAACCCAGAAATTCATCTTTCAACTCAACTTTTACACCAAAATAATATTCTAATTTTGAGAGCGCCCTGTGCGCTTATTACGTCGAATGCGGTAATTAAGTCTACGCTAATTTGTTTGCATTTATTATTAACTCTAACGTTAATTTCAAGATTTACAGTACATACTATTCAAAAGAAGTTAAAGAACACCCGATTCCTTCATATGACTAGTCATTAGAGGAAGCGATAGAGCGATAGAGCGATAAAGCGATAGAGCGATAGAGCGATAAAGCGATAGAGCGATAAAGCGATAGAGCGATAGAGCGAGAAAGTGATAGAGCGATAGAGCGATAAAGCGATAGAGCGATAGAGCGAGAAAGCGAGAAAGCAATAGAGCGAGAAAGCGATAGAGCGAGAAAGCGATAGAGCGAGAAAGCGATATTTCCCATAATGCCGTTCATTAAAACGGTTTTGCTGACATTTAGTGATCCATTCCTGTAATTCTCACCGCTATTTTGCCTCTTATGATTAGATTTTTTAAACATCTTGTAGTAGATAGATATGTTACAAAATACACACGTAATTTTTTCTCGTTTAGCTTGTATATTTTCTTGTAGTGTAATAAATAAGCAAGATTCACAGAATACAGATAGTCACTGTTCATATTTTCATTTTTTTCATAGTATCCTCCCCTCATTCCTCCATCAATCTTAAAACTGATAATATATTGACAAATAATTGTCAGTTTTATTAGCCAGTTTGAATTGTTTTACAACGTCCAAAGAATTATTTTTTTCGGTCATTAGATTTGGAATTGAAGCCGAATACATGCTCGTCCGATTTCGGGATCACAATTATGTTCATGCAGTTAAGTTGCATGCACATTATGCAAACAAAAGATGTACATGTACACAGTTATGTTTCCCTTACAAAATACAGATGAATTAGATATATGTCTCTATCTTAAGTCATATATACGACTTTCGAGAGCGTCATTAACCCGTAACCCCATTCCTTGGACAACAGAAATGAAATGCGTCGTAGATATTTTTTAAAAACAACTCGTTTCTTATAATGACTTTCGATCAAACTGTCTTCGGGAATTAAATTTAATGCTAAAGTGCTTGTAAAATATAGTTTAACTTTCCCGCCAGGAGAGACTAGATATCCAATTATAGTATAGGCTCAGACAGGAATATACATATTTAAGTAGCAATTCTCTATCCATTTTAACTGTATGGTTAACAATTGTGCGTTCTGATGTGAGTTCTGTAGTTATCTACTACCGGACACACACACAAACACATACACACATACATAATTTTGACAAAACTATACTTAAGATATACATAGCATATTATAATGATAGCTGATTTAATATATGTTATAGATAATTATAGTAATGCATTTCGTATTGTTATCAACCTTAACTATGTGGCCACACTAATTATGTCTCTCCATATGTGTAGTTAACACAAGTACACATATCAACTGTGGTAACGCCACAGCGATGGGGGCAGTGGGGTAGCCAAGTGGTTAAAGCGTTCGATCGTCAACCCGAAGACCCAGTTCGATTCCCCACATGTGTACAATGTGTGAAGCCCATTTCTGGTGTTCCCCGTGATATTACTGGATTATTGTTAAAAGCGACATGAAACCATTCCCACTCACTTACTCACAGCGGTGTTTATCAAATTACTATATGCAAGTACATATATTTGTAGATTTGCACAAGACAAGAAACACAATTCAAGTTAAATGTCAAAAAGAACATTTACGGACAACCAAATTATGACACACTGTAACATCATATACTACCGAAAACTAGTTATAGAACATCCAAAATTATAAGATTGTATTTTTGCAAAACAATCAGCCATGACTAATTAACCAAAGTCTTCTTAACTTTTATATATAGTATATATTTCGATTTTAACCTGATTTATTTAGAACGTATTGCCATGATCTGCCACGCGCTTACGGCGAGATGGTCACATACAACTGAAAAGGGCTATAAATAAATCAATTATATTATACGCAAAATTCGGTGGATTGTTTTAAAATCACCGACGTCTCTACAGTTAAATTATGTTTTAAGTAAATAGTGAGAAAAGTTCAACATTACCTCCCAATTGCAGAAGATATCACATGCGGCCCCTATAGTGGTCAAGAGGGGATATTGCTTAACCGCGAGAAAGCGATAGAGCGAGAAAGCGATAAAGCGATAGAGCGATAGAGCGAGAAAGCGATAAAGCGAGAAAGCGATAGAGCGAGAAAGCGAGAAAGCGATGTCCCCTCTCGGCCACCATAGCTGACACCTTGACAAGCATGACAAAAGCTTGGGCATACTTCTATGGGCATCGTTATTATGTTATGATGATGGGGTTTGCTTGAAACTACTGGGAACCTATTCATCTCCAGAATCTACCCATTAGTCGTAGCAATGAGGCATGCTGTCCTGGTCAGTGTTATCTTTCTAGTCAGTGAGATTGAGCTTGACATTTGTCCCACATACGAGTGATGAATCATCTAGTTGTGGCATGTACAGAATGAATAATCTTGATAACACTTGGCAGAACTCGTCTGTAATATGTCATCTAGATATCCCACAGGTGAATAGATCACCTATAGATCACGTATACGGAATAAATTATCTACGTGGCACATGTGGGCAAGAAATAATTTTGATAGAACGAAAATAGTACTTGTGTTTAGTGAATGATCTAGATATCTAGATATATTACGTGTAAAGAAGAATGTAGATTTAATGTGTGTGTACTGAATCTACTCTATGTCACGTGTATGTAATTATATACTGAACCGCAAAAGAAACGTCACCCCAAGTAACATTGCATGAAAAGTTGTCATTTAAATAACTGGGTTATTTTTGTCAGTTTCTAAAATTTAACATTACCTTGTCCCAAAAAATGAAATTTGATGATAAAAAAAACAAAGCAGATGACAATAAAACGGATCATGGCCGTTGCCATGATGAAACGCATCACGGCTAAGACCATGGTAACCCGATGCACGTGTTACGTGCAAATTGAAATGCACATGTGTTCCCCCATTTCTTGCCCTATACAAATCCACCCAGATTGGATAACATGCATTCGTTATTGAATTTCTACCACATGCCAAGATTGACAAGAAACCAGCGACACCAAGCCCTTGGACGATTGCAAGCTGGACAAAACACCCGGCAAACTTCTCAAGTCTTGAGACCACACGCTATACCTCATTTTGCACGTCGCCGCAACCACAAGTTTCAGCATGATAACGACCATGCCCACACTGCGAGACTAACAAGAGACTTCCTCCAGCAGAATGGCATTAGAATCATGCAGTGGCCTGCCTTCAGTCCCGATTTAAATCCCATTGAGCACCTGTGGGACGAGATTCAAAGAGGGACGAATGAACTGCGTCAGGCGCTCATCAGGCCTGCGGCAGGCGCTGTGGCCTTCATCAACCCCCGCATCCATTCCATGTATCGACGTTGCACGGCAGTCATCAATGCACATGGTGGACAAACGAGATACTGACTTGTGATGCCATTTTCTCAGATACTTGTGTTGTGTTTCACTTTAAGAACATTTGTCCCTTTAATTTCAACCTTGATGATCAGTTTTGCCAAATTTCATCTCTTTAATATGTCTCAAAGTAAGTTTACAGTGTTTGGACAAAAAAGGCTTCTCACATAATCTATCCATGGTGACGTTTCTTTTGCGGTTCAGTATACATAATTAAAAACTATATGTGTGTCATGAACGTGTTAAATCACCTAG